ATGTGTGTTTGTGAGTGTAAGCATGTGGGCATGTGTGTTTGTGGGTCTAAGCATGTTAGTTGTAAACTTATATGTTTCTAGCTGATACAGCCTATCACTGATCCCAAAGTTTGTATGAGTACTGTCTATAGTCTTGCTACTTCCTCTCTGACACAGTGCACCAAGGTTTTCACTAATCCTACAGTGCTTCTTATAAAATCCTAACTGCTACCCATAAGTCACTGTTTCTGGGCAGGAGAGATGCTGATCTGGTAATGAATGGCACTGGGCAGATTCTAAAGCAGTGTGCTCCAAGGACAGTGTTTTCTTTTGTTCCAGCTTTTTGCTGCTCATGGATTACATTGGCATTAACCTGGCAACCATGAATTCTTGCATAAACCCAATAGCTCTATACTTTGTGAGCAAGAAATTCAAAAATTGTTTTCAGGTAAGACTGTTTTGCAATCTCTCTCTCCCTCCCTCCCTCTCTCTCTCTCTCTCTCTCTCTCTCTCTCTCTCTCTCTCTCTCTCCCTCCCTCCCCCCTCCCTCCCTCCCTCCCTCCCTCTCTTCTCTTCTGCTCTCTCTTCCTGTCTCTCTCCCTCTCCCTCTCTGACAGACAAATCAAGGTACTCCATAGCAAACAGGCACAGCCAATTCCAAACTTATTACTGCTTTGATCAGTTGCCTCCTCTTCATTCAAGAAGTGAAAATCACTTTTTGTTACCTAGAAAGAAGGTCAGACAGTCATCAGAGCAGAAGAGCAGTACATATTCAGATGACACTTTCAGAGGTTAATGCTAAAAGGACTGACTTAACTGCATCCAATTTACTGTCTCTCTTCAAATGGGAGACTCAAATATAGGCACCACACATCCTAAGTACCAAAAGCTAATTCATGCCTTTCGTTGTCTTAGACTTTATTCAGTCTCAGGCAGAAGTTGGCTCTGGAGCTGAGAAAGCTCTCACTAATTGCAATTAAACAGTGCATTTAATAACAACCTTTTCAGAGTTGGAGAGGTGGCCCAGCAGCTAAGGGCATTTGCTGTTCTTGCAGAGGACTTGGGTTCCATTCCTGGCATTCATATGATGACTTAGGACCATCTGTAACTTCAGTTTCAGAGGATTCAATGCCCTCTTCTGGCTTCCTTAGACCCCTGGCACACTCCTGGTACACGTGCAGGCAAACACTCATACACATAAAATAAAATCTTAAAAAATAATAAATAATAGCTTTTCCTAGGAAAGTAAGTGCTTATTACTCTGGGTATCTGTACTATCGTGGTTTCACTTGTAGTCAGCTTTCTTGTTTCAAAGCTCCATCTAGACACATCAACAATATCTGTAGAAACTCCCTTGGCTTCTCACTTTCTAGTTCTGGAATGAGTTTAGCACAGCCCTAATGTTTGCTGGGTTGTGTTATCTTGGACCAAGATATTTAACATTAGCTCACAGTACATTTTATACAGAATAGAGTAGAGATCAGGGGAACAGGTCCTGGAAACAAACAACCTTGGTTGACAGCACAGCTCAGTGTCTGCTAATGGTCTCCCCACAGGTGACCACTGCCCCTTCCAGTTACCTCACCTATAAAAACTGATGAACCAAGTAATCATCCAGTAAGGAGAATTCAGTGTGGATAGATAGGCAGACAGACAGACAGACAGACAGACAGACAGACAGACGGGTGGATGGATAGATAGATAGATAGATAGATAGATAGATAGATAGATAGATAGATAGATACACAAACAATATGAGTGAGCTACTGCATAAGATGGGAAAGGAAAACACAGTAACTGCCCTCACAGAACCCATGATGATCTAAGCAGAGACAGACATATTACCCAGAAGACAGTACAAACAAGTGAGAGTTGATAATGGAGTTTCAGCTGTAATCGGCTTGAGGTCTCCTTGGAAGTGTTATAAACCACAAAGTGCTGGAACTAAAATGTGTTCACTCACACCCAGGTCCTAACTAGTATATTTCGTATGCTGCACTTGCTATCACTTGCTGCTTACTTTATATATTAGACGGCGACAGGACATTCCCATTAAAAATCCTCAGAAATTAAACACACACCCTATAGAATGGCCAAGGGAAAGAATCCAGTCTTGAGAGCCCTTGCTTCTAATTTACATTCTGGTCTTCCTATCCTTAGGCCTCACTGTGGTCCTTCATAATGAGGTGGTCCTTCATACCCACATCTGGGGCTGTAGTGAGGGTCAGCTGAAGTAGTGACAGATGCCAAGCACCTCATAAGCAATTCACTGATGAGGAAGCAGGTCCCCCAGGCCCTTTCCCTGCTGTAACTGCCTCGTTCACTGGAAAAGACCCCCTTCAAACAAGCACCGCTGCCCCTCCTCTTAAATATGAAGAACACAACCAAAATAAAAAGCAAAAGACCTTTGCTCCTAATCTCTGCCTGGCAGCCACAAGCTCTGGCTGTCCTCTGGCTGTCCTCAGTTGTCCATGGGCAGTCCTCACTGGAGGCCCATGCTTTCATGTGTGACTCAGAATGGATTGGCAAGCTGACTGGGTCATTTACACACACTCTCTCTCTCTCTTTCCCACACATAGTCATGCCTCTGTTGCTGTTGTCACCAGTCCAAAAGCCTCATGACCTCGGTCCCCATGAATGGAACAAGTATCCAGTGGAAGAACCAGGAGCAGAACAACCACAACACAGAGAGAAGCAGCCACAAGGACAGCATGAACTAACCCTCTGCAAAAACAGCGAGCCGTGAGCCTTCAAGTCCTAGGACGGAAACCATCACACAGCAGCTGCGCTCCCCAAACCTCCCAACGTCTCTCCCCTGCTCCTTTCTAAGTCCAGACTAAGAAAAGAAAACCTCTCCTGCCATCCCAACAGCACGTGGTGGACCGGTCCCAGCCACAGCCAGTTGGTCTCTCCTGAGTACTGCATATGATTTGCATACTGCGTATGTCATTTCCAACATTTGAAAGTTAGGAGAGCTAAGGGAAAGAGGAGATCGTTCAAGGAAACCACGTATCTGCCATCTTTGCATGAACAGAGTTTGCAAGCTTATGACCAGCTTCCATGCAGTTCTATGGGACAGCCAATGAAAACTGTTCATCCTAAGACTCTAGAACAGTGGTTCTCAACCTTCCCAATGCAACCCCTTAATATAGTTCTTCATTTTCCAGTGACCCTCAACCATAGAATTATTTTTGTTGCTACTTCATAACTCTACTTTTGCTACTGTTATGAATTGTTATATTTATCTGATATTTCTGCTAGTCTTAGTCTGCCCCTGTGAAAGGGTCGTTCAACTCCCAAAGGAATTGCAACAAGTTGAGAACCACTGCTCTTGAAATTATGTTTAGTTTGATGGCCCGTGTCTATATCGTAGAATTGGAGAGGTGAGGGGAGATGACCAGGTGTTCAAGGTTAGCCTCATCTATGTAGTTCAGAAAAGCTTGGGCTACATAAGATTCTCAAAAGACACAGACAGACAAAAAGTCTTTAAAATTTATGGCAAGATTCATTATTTTTTCTTATAGCCAAACATATTGTGAGGTTAAAGTACTCCTTTGGAAATGTCAGTGTTGGTATTTTATAACTGCATGGTACCCTAGGAATGATATTTTCATCTTCTTTACATGTACTTTGAAAAAGAAGAGGAAGAAGAGAAGGAGGAGGAAGAGGAGGAGGAGGAGGAAGAAGAGGAGGAAAAAGAGGGGGAACATCTGATGAGGAATTAGGTTATGTTTCTACGGCACTGTTTTGTTTGGAAAACATGATTTCCAAAGCTACCACAGACACAGACCAGTTACCACCAAAGCAATTTAATAGCTGCTAGCCAAAGAATTTTTAGGAACCTGTATTTTCTTTTTATGTTGTTGATTGGCTTTTTGCTTGTTTGGTTGATTTTGTTTTTCAACACAGGGTTTCTCTATGTAGCCCTGGCTGTCCTGAAACTTGTTTTGTAGATTAAGATGGCCTTGAATTCACAGAGATCCTCCTGCTTCTGCCTCCCAAATGCTGAGATTAAGGACATGTGCCATCACATCTGGCTTGAGCATATTTTTATGTTAAATTAACAATAACAACACTTGGGAGCTGGGCGCGATGGCACATGGCACATGCTTCCTACTCTTAACATCTGGAGGCTGAGGCAGACGTTGTGACTGGGAGACTGCCCGCACTAAGGTACTCTCTTACAAATAATAATAATTAATAATAATGCTTAGGTCAAATGGTTCTATTTTTCCTAAGCCCAGTCTTTTTTAATATAGTTTTTAATGTGAGACCATGTTCTGCAGGTTAAATGTGTCACTGAAGTATGCCTGAGACTTTCAGCCCCACGTCTGATGCCTGCCTAGGAAAAACGCTGGATGGTTTTGGAGGGCCTGGACATTTTCTACAAGTTCTACAATATAGCGCATATATAATGCATGTTTCCTTTTATGCTCTCAGTTTCTCCCACAGTGATGACTGGCTACAAGGCTTTCCTGCTCATTCCTTTTTCCAGACAGGAAACAATTTCAAAGTGGCCAAATGAGCTGATTGTGTCAAGTGAAATGTAGTTATGCCTGCCATGAACCTTTAACTCTTAGCTCCTTTCTTACTGTGAGACAAACTTAAATTTTCATCCTGTCCCAAATCCTCGTGGTCACTATTTCAAAGGGCCCACAGTATCTCTACTGGGCATTTTCCCAGATGTTTACAGACTGTGAGAAAGACAAATATCTTTTATGTTGTGTGTATATAAATATATAAATAATTGTGCATTTCTTTTAACCAAATTTTCTGTGGTTGTCTCTATGGAGAGAGAGAGAGAGAGAGAGAGAGAGAGAGAGAGAGAGAGAGAGAGAGAG